AACCTTACGAAACCGGCTACGTCGCCGCCTCGCTAAATAGTAGCGGCCGCGTCGGGCGCTGCAGCCGCCGCCCGCCGCGCCCGCCGCGCCCGCCGCACCCGCGCAGCACGCACCGGAGTGCTACAAGTGCAAGTGGACACATGTGATTTATTTGTTAAGGTAACACAGTGGTGTAATCACAATGAGCCTCCGCTAAATGTTGGCGCCAAACTGTCGCCACGTGTCGTCATTAGTGTTGGTGATTGTGTCAAAATGTAGTGCGCGTGTGGGGGCGGGGGCGGGGGAGGGGGCGGGGGCGGGAACAATGTGATGTCACCTGCGAGAGCGGGAGCAATGGTGCCTTGTCTAGTACTGCCAAAGTACTGTTTTGAACTTTAAATATTTTATATGGGAGCGCGAGTTGATATATATCCAAAGATGACTGCTTTGTATACGGTTAGACTTGTGTTGTTATTATTTTCTGTTTTGTTAGTCGGCCGAGCTGCTCCGGCGCGGGGCGGCGCGGGGCGGCGCTGGATACAATAGTACAAAGAGTTATTGACTAGTTAGGTACGTAAGGCGACGACGAGGACCACGCAATGAATTAGCCCAAATAGATATTTATTTTGTCTATATTTATAGCATTTAAGTTTAGGAGCCAGGAAATGTGATTTCCGCGACTCAGAGGCTACGTCTACGGCTACTTGGAAATGAATTTGTTACAGCCACGGAGAATATACTACAGAGACTTTCTCAAAAATCTAAATATTTATATAAAGATAAAGTATTTAGCTAAAATTACGGAACATAGATTTTGTACAGTGAGGAGACATTTTTGTAATAGAGTGGTTATTCTTTTAGGAAAAGAATTATGTTTTATTATTTGTTTGAGGCAGAGAGTTATATGGTATATAATAGATGGCAGGCAACAGTGAATTGAGAGGGAGCTAGCAGGCTCAGCATAGCGTGTGGAGCGGCCGGGGCGGGCCACAATCTCTTGTTAATGTAACTTGTATGGATAAAGTAGAGGTTCGCTTTTGTAAATGTCAAAGTTAAGCATATTGTGATGATGAAACCATTGACTTATATTTTATTATCATAGCCACAAGTGGATCAGTTGCAAAGGTGAGTAGTGTCGTGTCGTGTCGGGTAGGAGTTGGAGTGTGTTGGAGGCGCGGTGTGTTTGCGCGCGCGTACTTGAGAAGTAAACAATGTGCCTCATTTGTTACCGACTTGCAGCAAATAATGACTTAGGTAAAAGTGTTCTTTGATAAATGGAGATGTATTTTTATTGAAATAAATTTTATGCTGTGTACTTTAGCTGTAAAAGATGATTTAATATAATTTGTTAAGATAATTATGTAAAAGTTTAGTGAATTTGGTGATTTGGTGCGGAGTCCACTGTAGCGGGGGAGGGGGAGGGGGGCGGTGTTGGTGTCGACAGCTGACGTGTCCTCCACCCGACCTGAGGATACAGTTTGAATCGAAGGGTAAAGCGAATGCCTTGTCTGAGGCCGTGTCGTCGGTCGCAGCGATTTAACTATTTCAAAATGAAACAAAATTTATTACTATACAAATTAGTTCTAAAGCGAAACATCGCTGTAGACTTTATTTTTTAAATATGGTTTAAATAAAGTTTGTATAAAATTAACGCGTAGTTTTATTATTACATTACACCCTCCCAGCTATCGTGGGGGGTGACCCCCGTGCGCCCCCCGTGTGCCCCCCGCGCAGTACCGAGGGCGGCCGGTAGCCAGCAGTCAGTCAGTCAGTCGGAGCCGGACTCGCGTCGCGCCGCGTCACTTGCACATAGTAATGATAATGTTCATTTATTATGAATATGATACGCATTCAACAACTCGGAAAGCAATAACATAATAAATGGTCGACACGGCACGAGGGTAGGTGTATGCGGCGAGTGGCGAGCGGCGAGCGGCTGCCGGCGCGGTGCGCGCAATGTATCGATCGTGTGCAGTGCAGTGAGCGGTGACGTAGTGAAGTGGAGGAAGTGGTGCACTGCGGCTTGTGATGCGCACTATATTGTTTTCTATTGCGGTTTTCAATGGCTTATCTTATATAGGCGAATACTAAAATATTCGAGAGAAACAAAATCAACATAAATCTTTGGTCGTATTTGGCATAAAAATAACAGGGTTGTTAGTTAAATGCGGAGGAGATGGTTAAAGCTGCACAAGCAGCAACCCGGCAGCAGTTTAATTACATCTCACTAATGTTATAAATGCGAATGTTTGGATGGATGTTAATCAATAAATGAGTTCGCGTCTCTCAATGTAAGTGATCACTAGTGAATTAGAACACAAATGTTTCTGTTACTTTTTTTAGTATTTTATCATAAATGTATTTTGTATTGTTCGAGGAATATAAATAACGAGGAAGCTTTACGCTTTACAATGCATGTGTTGTACATTCAGTATCGAACCCGAGGGGGAGTGCATCGGCAGTACAACGACTCACCCCAGTGGGGAGCGTGTATGAAGTCAACTACTGCTAATAAAAATCGAATTTTCTACTCAGAGAGCACGTTAAGTTCGTACTTTAGAAGTACGTAAAAGATTAATTCGCTCTACTAACCCCGAAGCCACTTTGGCACACTTTATGGATGTGAACTGTCAGCTCCTTCATAGACAAAGCAACGTGACCGAAACTAGTACTAATATAACATATACACTTAATTAAATAAAAATACCTACTAACCTAAGTAAACTAATATAGTAATTGTACCCTTGCATCGCGAGTATCGTCGACTAACTTTTCTCACGACAAAGAAGTTCCGACATTGTATTGCGTTAGCTAAGCAAATAAAATCGCCGGAATAAGAAGATTTGCGTTGCCTTGTTGTATACGAAGGGCCTCAGAGACACTGACTACCTGCAATCCGTTTCAAATAATAATGTGCTTAATCCGTGTAACATTGTGAAGTCGCTGGATAAGGTACGATTTAAACGATACGTATTTTGTAATTAATAATTGCTTTAAAGCTGTATCTCGCAATTGAAATAAGTGAGTTTAGGTAGTACTGTGACGTCATCTGAATATATCTGAACATTTGATGTACCGGGAGTTGGTGTAAGTGACTCGAGATGGCGCTGGAGATCGGTAAGCAATATAACTTTTTGGATTTAAAATATAAAAATCAACCTTTTTCCTTCGTAAAAGTCGATAAAAATGTTCCTTAGCATGACAAATGATTATTCTAAGCACAACTAATTTGAAATAAATACATAATATATTTACTTATTTACTATTGTATATATATTGTATCTGTTTGACAATTAGAATAATACGTGTGCTATATGAAAAAGACAATGCAAATAATAGTAGCGAGCGCGCGAGCCGTCTCTCCCCTGCTATCCCCTGCTGTCCCCTGCTGTTCTTCACTTCACTGACTGGCGCTCACTTACCATAGCATTGTTTGTCAGGACTCCATGAAAAAATGTGTTACTGATCGCGCAGCTGCAAATCCGAGACAGCCTCAATACTTATGATATGATTACAATACGAATATGTATATGGACAATACCGACCACAAAACAATCATCCTTGTTCTTATAATTAGGAAGTATTCGTGAATATTTATTGCGAAATGTTGCGGCGATAAAATAACGATGGCGGAAACGAAAGGAATTCTCTCACGACGAAAATATCCGGAAATCAGTCGCCGGCGCCGTCGAGTTTCCGAACGCATTATCCCTGACCCTGACATCATTATCCCGAAATTGTCGCTTTTAAATGATGTCACATCAATTTTTATTTATTTATTTATTGAATTATATGAAAATACACACAAATGGTATACTTATATGCTATACATTTGTGAAAACCGTATCAGTGCACACGAATTCATTGATATGTAGAAAAAACCAACATTTAATCGAAAATGCTACAATAATTGTTTTGGATACTAGGTCTAGTCGGTACACGTCCATGTTACTGAGCGCCCAGCTCTCTCTCCCTCTCTTATGTATATTCGCAAATGTTGACACATAGCAAGAGATATTCATTCAGCTGTCGGAAGAAGTAGCTACGTCACATGACGAGGCAGACGGGGCGCGTGGGCGGGACAGGGTCTGTAGGTGAGTAGGAGGGGGGGGGGGGCTAGAGACAAGCTGCTTACACTTTCATCTCAGACAATAGTTACAAGTAAACATTTAGGAGTGGAGCAGGATTCAGTCCGTCATATCTTTGGGGAACACATCCGCTGGCACATGGCATAACGCCCTCACGTGATTACAAAAAACTTCACGCGACCATTTATGACACTATCTTGTTTATGTAGACTTTATCCTGTAGGATTCCATCACCAAAACGTTCGTTTAAATACTTCGACCTCTACAATTCGATTTCTCTTCGTTTAATCATCGGAGAGGCTGGATTTTTATCACAATTTTTTCCGAGAAAATGATAGAGATAAGTTTTATTCGAATTTTGATTCGCATCTGCGGCAGTGGAAACCCAGCGATGCTCGCAGTGTGATAAGTGAAGTCGACCGTTTGTGATTGTGTCAGTCACTCGTTCGCGTTCACTTACCAAAACCGTCGCGTATTCTGTGCTCTGCGCATGTAATTACATATTGCAAAAGTTTATTTGTAAATAATTGATTTGAATTAGTTTCGTTGCGCCGAATAGTTTTGATTTATTGTTGCTTCAATTGTAATATTTACAGGTGGAGGGAGGCTCCCACAGGTCAGATACTGTTATCAAGATAACACTTTTATATAACGCGTGGTTTGTGTGCGTGTGCGTAATCATACTAAATCTACCTTTTTTGTGAATTCTGATAAGGAGGCGTTACGGTGTGCTGTGGTGTTGTGTGTGATGTTTCACAGTCATCAGCTGCTGCCTTATGCCTTGATGGTTTAATAGTTAATAGTTGTAAATGTATTATACCATTCGAGCCGCGGTGTCGGCCGGCGGCAGCGGCTGAAACACCTCAAGATCATACATCTTCAACTAGCTTGTTAGTGATACTCCTCCTGTTGGGTTCGTCACAGCTTAAATTTGTATAACGAGTGATAGTTTTTCACTACCACATGCGTCTATGGCTCAGCGATTAGCGACTTACAATCTGCTTGTCCTGGGTGGATCCTCGTTATGTACTATTTGATTAACGAATTACATTTGTATATTCTCTCGTTCTTACGGTGAAGAAAAACATCGTGATGTAACCTGTACATGTCACGAAAATCACTCTAAAGATATGTGAGAAGTCAGCTTAGGGTAGACTCAGGCGTGGGGGGACGTGTGTGAGCTGAAGACGACATAATTATAACAAAGTATAGGGGACAGCAGCAGTAGCAGCTGCGGCAGGCACACCCACACCGCTGCGCTGCGCCCTACTGGTTACTACATAGCAAACTTGTATAAACAGAATAAATCTATTTCCATATTAGCAAGTCTGCGTAGGATTTCGCAAGTTGTTGCGCAATATAATATACACCTTGAAATTCTCTTTTGCATAATATCTTTAGTTTGTTTTGTATAGTGTACAGTGTGCAGTGTACAGTGTACAGTGTGTACACAATACATTATATAAATCAATAAATACAAAAATCACAGAAATCGTGGAAACATTTACATTCTAGCATCAAGAGTATTCGCTTTTAATGTCCAGAAATAAAAAGTGAACTCAAACGTATGGTCTGATGCAAACATGGTAACAAAACATTGCCCCGATTTAAATAAGAAAGTGAGCGGCGTCGCGTCGCGTCCGTGTGTGCCGGCGCAGCGTGTGGGCAGCGCTTGCACCGGCGGAGGCGCCCGAGCCGGACAGCGTCACCTTACTCTGATACACTCGGCCTGGCCTGAGCCACATCGCGCACCTTACCCTGCTCGTACTCAGCTGTGATCAAACGACACATCTGTGCGGTGGAATCATTGCCACTGCCAATGGCACTGAGGCATTGGCACGCCAAAATGGTCGCGGATATGAGCTTCGCATTTAGTGGGAATGTGTCAGGGCTGGGGCCTTATAATTAGACATTAGGCTTTTCATAAAAAAGTCTACTTGTTGACTTGGATACCTAATGTTTGTCTGTGTGTAGCGAGAGTGACGTCACGCGCGATAACACAGCCCGGTGCGGTCCTGGCGGCTGTCTCTTAGGTCAAGGTGGTGAATACGATACAATTTGCCGGTCGTAGGACGTATAGGCCTACTCATTGTCCGACAAACATCTGCCTCCTCTGCCCTGATGACATACGCATCATGTTAGTGCTTGCGTATTTGTGTAGATGGCGTTCTGACCAAACAAACAGAACTTTATTATACAATTCTAATGTCATCATTCCTTGCATCGTTTACCATTTTTGTGCGAAATTATTTTACTTTTAAACTTCAAATAAAGTAAGACTTAAGTTTGGTAGTATAACAAAGTATACCTAAGAGAAAGGACAAAGGACAGCACAGGTATCGAGTTATCGTCGTTATCGCACCGATGTTATCCCCGCTACGAGCGCTACCACAACGAGTGTTCCCACTACTTCGTCCGCTTGTTTATTTTATCACAAAATCTATAAAAAATAAACCTATATTAAATCTGTACAGGTGTTATGTTGATTACTGGGAATAAAACGGACTTATGGACAGACAGAAACATTAAATATTTTGATATTACAAACGGACAATATAACAATAAATTATTATAGCTGGCTTTTATTTGAATTTTGGACTTTTAATTGAAAGGAATGTGATGATATTGACAATGTCATTTTGACATAAGACACCTAGAGATTATTCAGTAAAGTGTGACATGAAACATAAATGTATTTTAAATATAATTGAAACTGAAAGCGACATAACTGCTGCACGGAGCAAATGCTAAAATAATTATCTAATAATACGCTAATAAAATAATTTATTTTGTTTTATAAGAGAAAAGTTAGTTAAGATGTGGGCAGGAGTACGAAGGACAAGAGAATATAAATTTATTGTGGTAATCACAAACACTAATCAATAATGATAGTGACGACGTTTGAGGCGATAACAGCAGTGCGGCCGCGGTGCGACACCCCGCGCGACATCCCGCGCTGCACTTCTTGCCGGCGCAGCGCTGCGCACTTTTTATTACTTTTTGTTTTTTACGTTATGTTAAGTAGTAATGGTAGGTGGTTACTGGAAAATCCCGTCTTCATCTTAGTTGCTAACAATGATAGGCAGCGGTAAACAAAATTGTTTAAATTAGTGAAATAAAAGAGTAATTGATTGCAGATCGAGGAGGTAATGCAGCAGAAGGCGCCGCGAGTGCCTGCTGATATTAAACAATTGTAAGTTGTGTTCTTGTTATTTCTTCATTTTTTACAATCGTTGTTTTTCAAATAAAAAGTACTTTTGCGATTGAGGTAAAAGTTATTTATTGAAAAATTCACACAAATGTATACGCAGGGGATATAGCTCAGTGGTAGAGCATTCGACTGCAGATCGAGAGGTCCCCGGTTCAAACCCGGGTGTCCCCTTACGATTTTTTTTTGTTTTCTTTTAGACAACCTCAGTACGAGTCAAGTCGAGCTAGCAATTCTAGCCTCCAGGGTGTGCGCAGGCGGCTGTCGGCTAACTTTTTCAAGGCGACGTTCAGTTCGCGCAGCAAGGCGGTCTCCGCCCCCCGCGCCCCCTACGCCACACGCTCCGTCGAGGACACCACTAAGATAGGCAACGCAGAGGCAAAACCTGTCACTAGAAACAGACCTAGATCAGGTTGGAACTGTGTCCTCCACACTTCAATGCTTTTTGTCTTTTCTTGCTCTACGTAATTATACTTGCTAATATGTCCGTATATATACTTTATTAATACGAAACAATACGTTTCTAGTGTCTCATTTAGAAGACGTAAAGTTGAAATCTAGAAAGGGCATCGAGCGTTCGAAGCCTGTAAGCCGGCTAGAAAGGCCCGCGCGCCCCGAGCGGCCCGCACGCTCCTCCCGGGCGCCACAGCCACCCCCCGACCACCAGGTCGAGCCCGAGCCCATACACCGAAAGCCTCAAACTAAAACCTCAAATGTCATACTTGAAATCGTCAAGAGGTCTGTTACTCCGAAACAAGTTCGGAAAGGTGTTACGAACGAGGGCGCGAGCCTCCTGCCGCCCTCGCTGAAACCCCGAGTGCCGGAGAAGACGAAGCTGCGCCTCAACAAGTTAATAAACAATAACAACGATTGGAGCAACGCCAACGTACACCAGATCACCGCGCCCCCCGTGCCCACGAGGTAAGTCAATGATTTACTGAAACACAACATGTTGTGGATCGTTTCTGTATCACTGATCGAATTATGGACATGTTAGACATACGAATGTGCAATTATGTACATTATTATAGACGTTTAGTTATAGCAATGAGCGCTACATGTAGAATGCGAGACCTGCATCTTGTCTTCTGTAGCAGTAGTCAGAATACGAACTAGGTAATGATTATTTTAGCTCGCTTGATTATTACGTGGTATGCTAACCTTATCTGAATATTGTCATTATACTAGGCCAGTGTCGAATAAAGAACTCTAAACGGCCCAGATCTTAAAAATTGAGTAATTTGCTAGAAACGGGCCATCCAGTCCAGCTGTTTTATATTCAAAGATATACCATACATGTCACTATTTAACAATCGTTACTTGTTGATTTATTGTTTGACTTTTAATTTCTTTTTTATATTTTTTCATGGATTTGTAACTTGTACTTACAGATACCATAATTGACTTCGAGTAGTTGTGAAAATATACGTTTAGCTTTTGAAGTTGGCGCTGATTTAGCAACACGCATATTAGCGAGCCGTACCAGATGTACACATGCCACATGCCTGGAACAATAACCTCTAAGAACATGGGAATAAAGTTGTTTATTAGCTATCCGCAAAACCATGAGTCAGTTCAATACACGTGATAAAGTTAAGCTGTTTTCTCCAATACGTCTATCTCTTTTTATGACACGTGCGTTTCTTTCGAGGTACAAGAGCGTTAAACAGAGAAAGATATCGTTTCTCTAATCCCACGAAATGTATTCCAGTAATGCGATACAACTAAATTGTAATGATAGTTTAAATCGTTGCCAGCCGGTGTCCGATGAGTGTTTTTGCATCGGTTGGATAATAAAATAATGTGTGAGCGGTGCTGCGACGACCGATGGAATTTTAAAACGCGAAGCGAGTTTGTACTGTGTGGTCAGTAGCGTTGTGATCGAGCCGGTGCTATTATTGAAACTTTGTTGCGTTTGACGTTTACAATTAAAGTATTGGCAATTCAGTCATGGTGTGTGTTATGTGTGTGAATTAGTGCAAATGTGACGTGGCAGTGATCAGGGTGGTTGTTTGCGAGCTGCGGCGTCGCGGTCGGTGCGCGGCGGCGGCGAGCAGATGTGGCCTGCCTGCCTGCCTGTGACAACACAACACTTGTGACCATGTCGTGTTTGCATCTCCTAGTTACTCGTTTCTTTTCCTTTATTCATGTGTATAGCTATGGTTTCTTACTTAACGAAGTTCTATTACAATATGGCACTCGGAATACTACATATGAGAGCAGGGCAATATTTAATATAAAGTTTATTTTTTTATGTAATTTGTTAGGGAAGTCAATTTTGTCCGTTGTTTTTGAATTTGAAAAGTCTTTGATTAATTGCAGTTCAAAGCTCACACAAGCCGTTAATTTAATAAACGTAGTGAAGCGAAGGGCAGGAGGCAGGCAGTACGGCTGAAGCTGAGAGCGCTGCCACTGACGCTGTCACTGGCGTACCACATGAACACGGCTGTGTGGCGCTGCCGCACGTCTTGCCGTACATTATCAATAAAGCCTCTAGCCTTACACGCTGCCACAAAAGCAAAACGGAAACGAAGCGAAAAACAATCGCGACTGAATCTTCAAATTTAGCGACAAAGTGCCATTAACCTAATGGTTAAGGGTAAAAACATTCGATTACGTGTTCGAGAGTTCGAATCCCTTCATTCCGTTATTATTGTTGTAATCATGATATCCTAGCACAAGCCTAGAAGTTAATCGGAATTGGAATTGTTTCAACAAAGTAAAAAAATGTGAGTAGTGCGCAGCTCAGTACCAGCTGCGACAATATTAACCTTTAACATACAGCTGCATCATTTATTATTCCGCTCATTGTTGGCACTTCTCAATATGTACCTATTTACCTTTTGTCCCACACGGCCGCCAAAACCATCGCCAGAAATATGGATGCTTGCGTTGCGTCTTCAGTTTTGTTATACAAATGAACATAGCAGCAAGTAGCCGTAGTGTGTAGTAACAGTAACAGTAGCGTTATAAAATTTCATTGTGGTAAAGATGTAATTAGTGGCTAAATAAATACACAAGCGTACATTATTTGTAGAGACGCGAGTGAGGGTACGTATGTTCTTGACGCTATCTGTTAGTTAGTGACCTCATAGCGCGACGCCGCCGTCGCCGCCACGTGAATTGAGGTCTCCTTATTATTTAGTTATTGACATCCGCTCTCACCATGCATAACGCATACCAAAACATTTATAATTATCACGTAGTAATGTCTGCATTGCTCCAACGAATTATAAATAGTTGCGCAGGTCTGATGTGATGGTAAAGTCGCTATTGTACATCTCAAAAAAGTCAGAGATGGCAGCCCTTTAAGTTTTCTCTCAATAACCATTGTTTGCTTCAGAATCCAATTTAAAAGTCGCACGTTATTTGTGATGCAATTTTTTAGTATTCCATACCTTGAAAGAAAAAAAAGGCAACCCTTATGGGATCATTTTGATGTTCGTCTGTCTGTCTGTTAAGAAACTTTCTTCGGGTTTAATATTAATCCGTATCAAAATAAAGGAAGTTTTTTTAACATTAGTATGATTATTTCACATAGTTAACAAGTAGTGAAAGTATGTACATGCGATCAAAATCAAAAAAATAACCGCATCCGAAGGTCTTACTAACAGACGGACAGTAACATTTGAATGACAAAAGGTACTATATATATGACAGGAAAGAGATCAGGCGTATGTACCTTCCCACTCAAACAAAGTTGGAGCGGGCCACTAGTTTAAATTAAAGTATTCGACTTGCATCTACGTCATATATCATCTACGTCAATACAATAGTATCGCCCCGCGCCCCGCGCCCCCCTCGTGCGCCGCACCCGCTTGCGGTACACAATCGGCAAACAAATCGAGCTGTATAAGGGATGTATGAGGGCATGACTAGTAAACATATTCAATTTGATATGTGAACAAACAAAGTGCCCGCTGATTTGAGTTAAAAATGACGATACATTGAGTAGTAAAATTGAATCATTGTCGCGGTGGAGTGGATGATGTGATCGCCGAATGCCAGTGATAGTTTCATCATCCGCTGCCGCTGCACTCTCGACCAGCACTTCATGATCACTCACTGGTCGCTGGCAGATTTAATATCAGATAACGTTGTTTTCCATTCGATATAATAATATTATAAATGTTCTTATTCATTTACTTTAAACATTTTGTATACTCATGGAAAAATGGTTCTAGTGACCGTTCATTGAATTACTGCTAGGTACATTAATTGAAATTTGTTGCGGCGGCCTCCGTTCCATTTTATTAATCACTGCCTACAAACGTAAAATTGTGGGTATCAGCAACTGGAAGGGACGGCTTTGGTTCCCACGGTGTAACGTCATCTAAATGAAGCGAGCACAGATCACGTTATAATCTAAAGAAATGAAGATTTTCCACCTCGATGTCCGTTCACAGCCTGTACGTGTATCAGGTGTTCACCCCATGCGGTGCCAGTGTTCAAATCAAGGTACACAGGCGCTAGTGGTGCTGTCCATACGATTTACTTGTATTGCACCGCTTCTCTTAAAGCACGTTATTTAGGTACATTTTTTTTCTTTAAGTCATATGACGCCGCATGACCATGTTTTATCTAACACGTTTTTCTATTTATTTTTTGAGTGAATAAATAACGATGTATCCGCAAGATAGTAAACGCAAAAAAAACATTAATTCAAAGCGATCGTCACTCACATAGCGGACGTAACATGCTTGATAAATACTTTTAAAAGTTTCTGTAGAATTTGCTTAATTTTATAATTGATTTATACTTCAAACTACAATAATTTATACGGCAGTTAGTCTGCAATTGCACGACGAGCACGACACTAACGACGAACACTTAGGAGCGGTTGCTGTGTCGCGTTTACTCAGCGTGGAAACCTCGTTGTAAGCACAGCTTTTCTCAGACCTTTCTCACGTGTGGGCCAAGCGCACGCGGCGTGCACATGCGATTCTCCACTCTGTTGCGTATAGTATGCGACATGTATCCGCGTGCGCCTGTCGCGTTGTGTCGCGTTGTGTCGCGTTTTGTCGCGTTTTGTCGCGTTTTATTGTGCAATACTCTCATTTCCAAGTGAAAATGAAATTGAACGTTTTTAAAATTGGCAAAGCGCGCTCGTTTCTCACTGTTGTTGCATTATATATAAGCGTTTCTTTTTATTGTTTCCTTCAGCTCTAAATTGTTTCGTAAGAACAGAGAAACGCGGTGTTCAAAAGAAATGCTAAACTTGTTTAAGAGTGGCGTTACTTTGGGCTGGTGCTATGAAAGCGCAGCCGATGAGCACGCTCAGATTACCTTAGTAGGTTTACCAATGGCTACTTATTTTGATATACAAGTTCTTGCCTACGCCTACGAAGTTAGGTTCTGGTGCGTTCCTTTTCGTGGGATTACAACGAGGCTAGTCCATTGACTTGTATACATTGACAGCCTATATGTTGTTGTATTTCGGGGCTATTTGTTTTCGTTATTTTGGTGCTAATGACGGTAGCTGTTGGTAGGGGTAATGAAGGCAGAGGCCTGTCCCTATCTGTACTGGTCAGTGTACAATTCTCATACAATCCTGTTTCGAATAGATAACATCTTATTCTAGGTATCTTTAAAGATTTCCCCCACTATTCAATATCTTCAAGTAAAATAATGACAAAAAATAATGGGACTTGAAGCTCTTTATCCAGCTGGAACTGGTGCCTATCTACTATTTGTAACCAGCAAGTCAATTAATTACCTTATAAATATATATATATATATATATGCTTTTCTTAACGGACAGACATACCGGTTTTATTTATATGATTATAAAAAATAATTTTTAATTTTTTACTTGCTTTCGAATAGGAAATGTTTTTTTCAAAGATTTTTTTCTTAAAGCTTTTCAGTATGCGGTCAATTTCTTTAATGTAACACTGACAAGTCGGTCTTGAGTTATCTGTAGGATTGTAGGCACCTTAGTTTGTCGAAGCAGTTAATTATCCTTTTCGAGACTCAGCAACGTCGTAAGCAGTCGCGACCTCACTATCTATGCCCATGTTTCCAATTACAATCAAAATGATAACTATCAAAAAAATAAGGAAAACTTTCAAAAAGTTTACTCATGTTTTTTGAATATCTGATGGGCCAAATGGTCTATATTTTTCATTAATGGATGTTTTTGAGTGCCCGCATTAGGGAAAGGCAATAACTAGGAGATGCAAGCCGAGCGGTCGCTCGATTCATATCTTAGACGCCTCTTGAAGGCAAAAGATGGTATATATAGGTAGTTAGCATAGATGGTTAGTGAGCCCACTTAATTAGTGTTGCAATTAGTAGGTGTCGTCTGCGTGCTGCTCGAAATCGGTCGCTCAGCTGCGCATTGCGCACCGCATACAGAACGGTTCGTGATTAAGACGAGCGGTTGTGGGCGCGCGCGCCATGCCACACACGAACTACACCGATCAGTGATACGAAACGAACATGCGATAGCGCAAGATGATGAAGTTCAAATCGTTGTTCCGTAGAGGGCAACAGGGAAAACAGGAGCCCGCGCTCAAGGGCGCGCCCTCCATCTCCAGCCTCGACTCGAAGCACCACAAGGTCGCGCCGGCGCGGGACAAGCCGCTCAAGATCTTCGGCTCCAAAGAGAAACTGCACAAGGCGCATAAGAAGCGAGAACCGGAGCCGGGCGACAACAATGCCGTGGCGGAGGAGGGCGGGCCGGCCGATGCGGGCGGCACGGGCGCGCTGAGGGAATACGGCAGTGCCGAGGAGCTGGGCTCGCGGCGTGGCTCGCAGGAGTGCGTCAGCTTGCCCGTCACACTGGACTCCCAGATGCACGCCTTCCATCTCGACCTGCGCCCCCGCCCGCCCTCTGAGGTACGACTAAATTTACTTTATTATTCCCGGTCGGGAGTCTCACGGAAGGAAGGTCTTTTGAGGGGCGTCCGGACCCGCCGGCCACCTCTATTACCTCCAATGTCACCTATGATAACGTATTTCTACCGTGACAATGGAAGCTATATTTAGTAATTTAAAAATGAAATTATTTTCAACGCATGATTACGTTAATTAGTTATGGTTTCATGTTGCAGGTGTCGACGGGGTCGACCGAGGCCGTGGAGAACGAAGGCCCGGTGGGGTGCGAGGGCGCGGTGGAGCTCGAGGGCGAGGACGAGGCGGCGGCGCTGCGACGCGAGGTGGCGGCGGGCCAGGCGGAGCGCGCTAGGCTGGCGGCGCGGCTGTCGGAGGCGGCGAGCGAGGCGGCGCGGCTGCGCGGGGAGGTGGGGCGGCTGCGCGCGCAGGAGGCGGAGCGCGCGGCCGCCGTGGAGCGTCTGGCGGACGAGAACGGCGCGCTGCGGGCGCGGCTGCGCGGCGTCGCGCACTCACCGCTCTCCGACAGCGAGAAGCGGCAGCTGCTGCTGGCGCCGGCGCCGCGCCGCATGCACTCCTCAGCGCCGGCCTCCATAGCGCTCGCGCACAATGTCGGTATCGGCGTATCTCTTCTCACAACAAAAATCTCTCGTTTACGTTCCCCGACAATATATATTTATTTATTTATTTATTTATTTATATATTTTGAACCCGTTCATTGAAACGTGCCGCAGGGCGAAGGCGAGGGAGAGGCGGAGGGCGAGGGCGAGAGTGCGGTCGAGGCGGGCACGCCGGAGTGGGACAAGCACTCGTCGTCGTCGCTGAGCGAGGTGTCGGTGGCGTGCCTGCAGGACCGCATCCTGCAGATGGAGGAGCATCACTACAGGTGCGAGTGACGCCGGAGCAGCTCATCTGCTTTTCAGTTAATTATGTGTCAATTTGTAAATGAATATTTACATTACTGAGGGGACGTGACCGGGGCGTTGCGGGCGCGCAGGGGCACGTCTCGGGGCGCGGCCGTCGGCGCGAGGTACACACCGCCCTTGTCCAACCCCTCGGACCTGCAGATCCCACATTTCTCTGTATATCTACTCCGCTCGGTCATCGGCCTATTCATTATATCATAGAGGACTTTACCGGCTAGGAGCTTGAGATATAATAAATGCGTCATTATCATTGAGCTAGGCCTGTTCGATAAATTGAATTCAATTAATATAATATTCGCTGCTAGAAATCGAGCTGTAACGAATTTACCCAGAGTTACATTAAAACATCGGATTGCCTACTGCATAAACCTTTTTCTGAAGATGTGTATGATGTTGATGTCGAAGGCGGTAGATGTAGAGTGTAGGAGGCGGTGTAGTGAGTATGTGCGGTGTGTGCAGCACGAGCGAGGAGCTGCAGGCGACCCTGGCGGAGCTGGCGGACCTGCAGACGCAGCTGGCGGACGCGCACGCGGACAACGAGCGGCTGGCGGACGAGAAGCAGGTGCTGCTCGAGTCGCTCTGCCGCCAGACGGAGAAGCTGGAGGACAGCAGGACCAAGGTACCGGCGTCCGCGCCCTCATAACGTGCAGCTCGCATACAGTACAGTACAGCCTCACACCGGTCTCCAGGTGGACACGCTGCAGGAGCTGCTGCTGCGCGAGGGCGTGGAGCCGGACGCGCTGACCGGCGGCGACCCCGGCCGGCACCTCTACGCCGTGCTCAAGGTACGCCGCAACCGCTTCTCCTCAGTATTTACAGTCTAAATTGCATACACGGTTTTATATCGAATTTATAAGTTAAAAAAGATGGCAATGTGAGAATGTGGATGTGGCAGACGGCGCAGGAGGAGCGGCGCCTGCTGCTCGGCCGGCAGGAGCAGCTGGCGGGCGAGCTGGCGGAGGCGCGCGCCGCACTCGACCGCACCGGCAAGGAGAACGAGACGCTCGCCGACCGCCTGCGGTTAGTTCAACTCTTTTGTTAAGCCGAGAGCGCGAATGTTTGTGAGAATAACGTTAGCGTTGCGCATCGTGCGGGGGGACAGGAGCACGGAGGCGGCACTGGAGCGCGCCGAGTCGAGCCGCGCGCACTGGGAGCAGGAGGCGGGCGCGGCGCGCGAGCTGGCGGGCGCGCGCCAGCACCAGCTGGGCACGCTGGAGGGCCTGCTGGAGGCGGCCAAGGCGAAGCTGGCGGGCGCGGCGGAGGGCGCGGCGGCGGCCGAGGCGGCGGCGGCGGCGGCGGCGCGGCGCGAGGCGGACGCGGCGGCTGCGCGCGCGCACGCGCTGGCCGAGCGCCTGGCGCACGCGCAGCGCCAGCTCGAGCGCGCGCACCACGACGCCCGCAAGCTACACGACGACGCACTGGTACTTCTGCCGCCGCTTCCTGTGCGGTGAACCTTCATCGAGATCTGTGACGATACGCAACCTAGTCTTGTATATTGTAGATATAGAATTTAGACGTGCACTGTACGCGATGTCGCTTGTTACGTGCGCAGGTGTCGCGCAACAACGCCAAGTCGACGATCTCGGAGCTGGAGTTCCAGGTGCAGCAGGCGCGGCAGGAGCGCGCGGCGCTGCAGACGCAGCTGCACTCGCTGCAGGAGACCGTCTCCGAGCTGCAGATCCAGGTGCCGCGGGCGCTCCCTTACCTTGTTCCCGTGTGGGTGTGCGTGTGCGTGTGCGATGCAGTAACGCGAGCGTGTGTGCGCAGGCGCAGCTGGCGGCGGACGAGAAGCTGTCGCTGCTGTCGCGGGCGAGCGAGGCGGCGACGCGCGCCGGGGACCTGGAGCGGCAGCTGCAGGAGACGCGCGCGCGGCTGTCGCAGCTGCAGCGCGACAAGGAGCGCGACGTCGGTATCCCCTCCCCCGCACCTCGTCCTTACCTGCGGCGATGTACGACCGAAGCGGTACCTCGAAGGACGTGTTTTTCCAGGAGGCGGAATGGAAGCAGTTCCAGAGCGACCTGCTGATGACTGTGCGCGTCGCCAACGACTTCAAGACGGAGGCGCAGCGCGAGCTGGAGCGACTCGTGCAGGAGAACAAGGCGGCGCGCGACCGCGTGCGAGCGCTCGAGGACCAGCTGCAGGCACGCCCCGGTGAGCCCCGCCCTCACTCGCCCCCACCCGCCCTCACCCGCCGCATGCCCCCCAACTCCCCTACTACGTAGACACACTTGTACACTTGAGAATGATATTTGCGGATTTTGTCCTTTTTTATTTATATATATTAGCTTGAAGAGTTTTATTACGATGTAATATTGTCCAAGACGCCGCCGCATGTGAGGCGCGCTCCCGCCCCGCCCCGCCCCGCCCCGCCCCGCCGCGCTCCGCGAATGTATTAACGCACCGTCCGCCGCACTAACTGTACATTATGTAGTGCTTCAGCTGTAGTCGCCGTCGAACCACTAACAAACAATTGTCATCACCAGTATCGTGTACATATTCACTTGTAACAAAATACATGTCTAATTATAATTTGATGTGCCAACGCAGGTGTTAACAGGTCGGAATCGTGCGAGAGCGCGCAAAGTCGTTCCGACGACGAGAAAAGCTTTAGCAGGGAGTGTGAAGTCGGCGAGGAGACTGCGGGGCAGGAAGCGGGGCAAGAAGCGGGGCGGGAAGCGGGGCAAGAAACGGGGCGAACAGCGAGGCGGGAAGCGGACGTGTTCCGAGACATCCGCACGCGCTACCTCAGCAGAGTGCACAGCGTGGGCGAGCCGGTGCGGGCCGCGCGGCTCGTGGACCAGGCGTTCCGCAAAACCGGCGCCGCCTTCACGCTGGACATCCGGGACGTCACCACCGACGAGACGAACGACGACGTCAGCAACAACGAGGAATCCTTAGAAAATTGTGGAAGAGACAAACATGAAATATTGTCGGAGGTCGTCCTCGCTCCCTTTGCGAGCAAAGGGTTGCCGAGGCAAAATGCTATCGACTTCTTGGAACGAAAGCTTAGCAGACAAGCCGCATTGGATCTGGAAAGCGTAGAGTGCCGCGAGCCGGCCGCCGCCCGCTACAAATTGCTTTGTAAATCATGGTCGTACGACAGGAGCGGGGGCGGAGCGGGGCCGCGCCGGCTCGCCGCCAGGTCGCTGAGCCTCGACCACGTAAACACCTCCGACGGGTTCCGGAACGCTTTGCAGGAGGCCACCAGCATTGAGTTCCTGCCAGCACTGAGTCGCGGCAGTGATATGTCGCTGTGCACGGACACCTCGGACGCCGTTTTTCTTCCATCTCCCTTAGAAGAAAACAACAACATCTTGGAACTGGAAAACAACAATTGCTTGAACTACAAATTGGATGTTAATTCTAAAGTGATTTGTCGCTCGCCGGATTTACTACGAGACCATACCGGTGTGAAGTCTTCGAGTAGTGATAACTTAACTTTGCTACCTTATTCGTATCCTCTGGAAGATGAGTCGGCACCTCAAAATTTTAACTTAATTGGAGCGCTGCACGAAAATTTGCCGGCACTTATACCTGGCGACAAATTGGAACAAGACTTGAAAAAAGTTAATGCGGAACTGAAGTTAACTTTTAAAGCTGCGTTAAACAGAATTAGAGGAAATGATTCACGCGATGAGCCTCTGCCGGCGCCGGGTGTCGCCGCACCCGTTGCACCCGCTGCACCCGCCGCACCCGTCGCACCCGTCGCACCCGCTGCACCCGCCGCACCCGCTGCACCCACCGCACCCGCCCCACCTGTTACACCCGCCGCATCCGCTGCACCCGCCGCACCTGTTACACCCGATGCAGCAGCCCCACTTGTCACAACCGTCACATCTGTCGCACCTACCGCACACCCAGTATCCGTCATACACGCCGCGGACGATGTAAACAAAAAATTTCCCTCAATAATAAAACGATCCAGGGATGAAAACTTGGGTATCTCAAATAAGGCAGTCATGGATGAATCGGTAGAGGAAACCAAAAAAACAGTGAACACGCCAGCGGTGGACGATGTTACTTATCGTTTGAAAATACACAGCCTGCACGACACCAGCCTCTCCCCCGCTCCCCCCACGCACTACGTGCCCCGCGCACCCACCACGCCCCCGGTGACCGCATGTGCCTCCTCCTACTTACCAAAAGGCAACAAATTAGCCAAAAGTAATGTCAAAACACTTCTAACACCATTGAACATTGTAAATACCAGTATCAGTATTACGGATGGAAAGAGTTCTCCGGTTATTATCAGTCCGGTGTTAATACGACCCATGTTGCTGAGGACCCCCGCGCCCGGCGTACCACCCGCACCCCCCGCACCCCCTGCACCCCCCGCGCCGGCCACGCTCTACTACGACGATATCGACCAGGTGGTGACGGAAGGCCAGAAAACTAGCAAAACACTCCAACTACGCGCTGCTGAAAGTGCTAAAAAGAAAGGAATCTATCAAAAAAATACAAAATCCAAACATTCGCCGTTTCTTTCGTGGAAATCCAGTGAAAATTTAGCGGAGGCCAAAACGCCTAACGCATCGACGAAGCCAAAGGAATCGCCAAAGATTAACATAAGTAAAGTATCAAAAACGCCGGAATGGTTAATAGATAACCACTACTACCGGCCGTTGGAGAACGCCGCGATAGTCCCCGGCGGCGGGCCAGCTCCCCGCGTCCGGGGCTGTTCGGTGACACTCCGCGAACCGCAGGAAAACTACTACGAGGAAATCGGCGAACCCGTCGCCACGCGCGCCGACAACCTCGCCGACGATGACAAGGTCTGCGCAGCCCCGACCTCGGCCGTTCTGCCCGCCCTCGCCAGGGAGGAGCTTCTCAAAGTCCCGCGAAAACCTAGAAGACCCGGGAGGCGGGGAGCGGGGAGACCGCCGGCCGAGCGGGGAGATTCACAAATCGGAACAGACATCGCACAAACTACGCGGGCCGTCATATCTCTAGCGAGATCCCCGAGCGCCAGGGATTTGAAACAGAGGCGCGACGCCTCCGCGAGGGCCGTCGCCCAAACCATGTCGGCACAAACTTATCATACGGAAATTCTCAAACCGAGCGAAATGGGAAAGAGCGAAATTTCGCTCCAGAGACAAGAGGCCAGGCGGGCGGAGGCGCAGCAGCAGGTCAGCACCATGTACCACTGGAAGACTCTGCAGCATAAGCGGCTGTCGCACCCGATACGGTCGCTGAACAGTCCCGCGCCGCTACGTAAGTGAGGCTTGTGTGTGTGAGGGCCGGAGCGCCGCGCCCCGTTCCCCGCTACTCGTGTCCTCTCGCTTGCTTCTCCTTGCTCCCTAACAGTCCTTGCATTTCGTATTGTTCTCTAAAGGTGGAGGTGGTGGTCGCTGGATGTATGTGCTGGGATGCAGCATGTCGAGGTGTCGGTGTACAGGTGGTGGTATCGCTCGCACTCGCGTCACGCGCGAGGCATTATCACTGTGTGCTTTCTTAGGCTTTATGTAAAGTGATTCCGAATGTAAAAAGAAAGTACCGTGCTATGTATAATACTTTAAAAAAGTTATTCTTTCTTTGATAATATGTTTGTAAATGATCCGTGCGAAAGGGTTCGCTTGTTTTTTGTTTGTTTTTTATAACAACGGTTCCGGCTACAATTTAATCTAACCAATGTTATTTTGTCGGTCGAGGGTAACGACCCTCAGTAGAAGTTAACTTAAAAGTGAAATCTGGTGCAGCTCGATGCGGCAGTGTGTTGACCTGTTGTTGTGTTGCAGCGGCGGGCGCGGGGCCGGGGCAGGGGTTGGGGCCGNNNNGGCGGCGGCGCCCGCCCCGCTGCTCACCAGCGCCTCGCTGCAGGATATCATGGCGAGCGCCGCCACGCACCGCCGCGGTAAAGGTATTATTTTTACACGGGAAGAGAATCCATTCCTGGTTTTCCTAACAGAAGTGGCTGAGTAGAAATAATTTGATCTTGTTAAGTTTGGCCCAGTATTGTCTTACGCAAATGTCACGGAGTGAGCGAGATAGCACCGAGTAGAGTTGTCACTGTGCGTGTGTGTGCAGGAGTGAGCCGGCAGGACTCGCGGCTGAGCGTCAAGTCGCTCATCGAGAGCATAGAGAACGCGGCGAAGGCGGCCAAGCAGGCGCCCGCCGCCGAGTGGTCGGCCGCGCCGCCCGACGAGCCGCGCGCCGCCCCTCCCGCCGCCGCCCCCGCCCCCGCCCCGCCCACACCACCCACCTACCTGCAGGTACCACCTCACTTTAAAAATAACCTTCAATTTTTTTATAACGGTGCAAACGAGTGAGCGGCCACCTGAATCGCTGAAAAAGCGAAGTGACGGTTACCCATAGACATCTGCAATTGCAGATGCTTTGTCTATCTTTAATCGACGCAGGAGGGGATGCACAGAAAGAGAGTATTTTCCCTTTCCGTGCATTCCTTCATCCGGAAAATCCACTAGGAATAATATGAAGCCTCCGGTACTACATCAGACCGTACGCGGAATTTCTTCAATTTGACGGCTGTCTTGTGTGTGGTCGTGGCGCGGTACTGCACCGGGCGGACCTTCCAATTCGTGTGAAGATGTAAAAGAGGGCTCTACCCCTGTTAAAACATTATTATTTATTATGTTCTCCTTCTATGTTTATTGATGTTATGTCTAGAGAGATACGTTCACCGCCAGCTGCGTACAATGTACAGTCGATTGTAACAGAACGTGTTTGTCTGCAGGCGGGCGGGGCTGGGGGCGGGGGCGC